TATACCCGTATTGTTGTTATTGTTATCGTTATATATGTACGTGTCATGGTTATTGTATCATATGTGAATCTAAGAATTTATAGCAGAGTGTGCCATTACCTCAAAAAGGCCCTCTGTAGTTCAAAATACCTCTCAGTTATCACACGTTTAAAATGKTAGTCAGAAAAAAAAGCCAATATAAAAAAAATCCAGGGAAAAAAGCCACGGGAAAAATAATCCACAGAATAAAAAGCCATGGGAAAAATAAACCACGGAAAAAAAAGTCAAATTAAAATAATTAAATAATTATATATATATTAATTATAATGCGGAAACGCAGATTGAGCGTACGACCGCACTTCACCAAGCCACATGATTTATATAATAATCGTGGTAATAACGCTATTGTAGCATGTAGATTGTAGGTATGATATTATGGACTATGGTAGATAAAYTGTAGACGTACGGCTGCGATAAACATTAGATCCATATAGACCTACCTACCAAACTATAGTGGATTTCCGTAATATTTTTTTAGGTATAAGAAATAATAAGAAATGAGAAAATATAAAAAAGTAGGTACAATGATATAATAATGTAATAAAAGTATTACAATTTATTACATTTTTTAAATAAATAATAATTATATATGAACTGACTATATATATATAATATAACATGTGTATACTATATATATATACCTACATAATAATATTATATAATATAAGGTACATTATAATTATAAATGAAAATTGAATAGACAATTTTGTATTTTCGGACTTTTTGTCCGGCAATCAAAAAATGAATCCGGACTTTTTGTCCAACTATTTCCATGCCGGACTTTTTGTCCCCGGACTTTTCGTCCGGGAATCATAATCATTATATAAATATAATTAAATATATATATAATTTTTAAATTTTTAGAAAATAGCGTAGGTCATTTTTTTAGCAAATTATTCCTGTATTCATAAAAACAAATTGTTTTACATTTTATTTTATATATTATTTGAATAATGTTTGTGCAGTATATTTTGTGATATTATTATACTACTAACGTAATTTATATATTTAGGAGTTAATTTTCTTAGAAAGTAAAGTGTAATATACTAATTTACTTAAAATTTGGATATTTTGTCCTCGGATATTTTGACATGTTTGACTGATTACCATAAATTACAACTATAGCCGTGCTATAAATAAACAGGCATGTTTTCTCTTTTCTTGAAAATATTGCTGATCTTTTATCAACTATGCTTATCACTATAATATTTATTGACAATATTTGTACCCATAAAAATGACAAATGTATTAAAATTAAAATACAAATTGTTTAATGTTTAGATTCAATAACATTGTAACTGAAATGAGTATGATGGGCCCTACACAGCTTTATATGAGTCGCCCTGACACACCAGGCACACCCTGTAGATTCGCCTATAATTGTAATAATGTGCTATTGGGCTAACTCTTCATCAGACCACCAATAGTTTGGTAATTTTTTAATCCTAATAATTCCAATAGCTCTAAAATTGAAGTTATTTTATTAATTGTATTATCATTTAATGCTTTACAAACGGTATAGAGCCCACAATTCCCATCGCTGAGAACGTTTTCTCCCGGTTTGTATTTAGAAAATATGTCATAGGCTTGATTTATTATTTATACTTTGTATCAATTATTCTTGTTTCGATTTCATTATCATTATTATCGCAATGTGTGTTAATATTATTAATTATGTCGGCGTATTCTTTTGATTTATATGTTTTTTTTCATCTTTATAATAAATATGTATTTCAATATTAGTATTTTGGAATTCTGAATATAATAATTGTTTAACTACCTATAGACCAGTTGAATTTATATGGTTCAGAATCAAGAGTGGGCATTGCAATTTTTAAAATTTTTAAAATATTTAATTTTGTAGCTTGAATTTTTAGGTTGTGGATTGTAGCTTATAAATCTTCGTATTCAATTGTATTTTTTTTTTTTAATGCGCGTGACGAAAAAAATTTAATCGTCAATAACTTCAAAACGAAGTTTGAGCCGACTTTTTTTTTATATTCTTGTAAAGCACCGTAAAACACACATTTTAGAAAAAAAAAAATTTAAAAATCGATAGGTTGCTAAACTAGAATCGTTCCGATTTTTTTATTAAAATCAGATTTCTTAAAAAAAAAATGAATTTATATAAAAAATGGAAAGGTGCATACTGCGTAATATATAGTGGCTGATTAATAATAAAAACGCGACAGTGTGAAAACGGCGAGCGTACGCGTTCGCGTTTCGGAAGCCTAGTGTGTAAGCCACTTAATACAGCATAATATATTTGCGCTCTTGTCAATTGTTATTGATAAAGTATTTCGGCTTTAATGAAAAGAGCATCGGGTGTGGAGTTAATTTTATTAATTTTATTAATTTTATGTATATAGGTGTTGCTATAATAGAAGGTGAACAATTATCAGCTGTGTTTAACCTTATATTTAGTTTTTTGATTTATTAACGTTCAAATTAAAATTATTAGCCGTGTGTCCGGATTTATTACAAATTTGATAAGTATTTGAACTTGATTTGTTTTTGAAAAAACATTTTTCTTCTGAATGATTTGTTTTAGAGCAAATTGAGAATTTTTTTTCTTTGATTAGTAGGGATATTTTTAGATGTGGATTCATTTGTTTTTCGCGTGTTATTATTTATTGGATTTTTGGGAAGTATGATTGATTGTAATGCGCTGGAACTGTGTTCCAATGTGGGTGTATTGTTATATGGTAAGACTGGTAAGTTATTATATGTTTGCGGCATTTGCGTGTGCCATTGTTGATTATTAAAATTATTCTGATTTAATTTGTTAGGTTCATATAGGGATTTTTATGTTCAGTATTATACTGACGTTGTTTGTTTTTATCGTTATTTAAAAATTGACTAAACATAGTCTTTATGTCTTTCGTTCTTCGTCGCCTAGGCAGAACCACCGACACTAATAAGTATGGAATTTGTTTCATAATTTCGTTTTATGATGTAGTCGATGTAGAGACCCTGCAATAAGAGAGAATTTTCCGAAATTTTCATTTTAGAGAAGTCCGATGAAATACATTTATGCATTATGCTACAAAATGTATATTATATGAGCACCATAGGGTCACAGTAGAGAGCATTCAATCAAAATATTTAATAAACTAAACCAAAATTTAATTAGTAATAAATAATAACTAATAAGGGATCAATATGTATCATCATTAGTTTTAATGATTTTAACACAAATTATTGTTGAATATCTAATAAAAAAATTTTACTTTTGTTTGATCAAAATGATTATGTACGTTGAAGAAATATTATAAGTTTTATAATTTACAAATTAAATTAAATTATCATATAAAGAATTTAATAAAAATGCATTTGTATTTTACGTAGGTTAATAAATAATTGTAACCGCTTTAATTGTTATGGACTTTAGTTACGCGTAGCCAGAAAATTTCTTCTATGATGATGGGGGGGGGAATAATATTGTTGGACTTTTTATCATTTTCCATAATTTATCCCAATGAAATGCTTGTAAGGGGCATCTCCCTAAGTCCCTGACACTTCTAAGTCCTAACCGGGTTAGGCTAACCCTTATAGTTCTTATATATAGACGATATGCCATACAAAGAATCTTATTAATTTATAATTTACCTATTGTTGGTAGTCACCAATTGCTTAAAAAAGTTTTTTTATAATATGAATACCTATTACATCAAATAGATAGTACCGGTAGACTAAAAAAAAAAACAGAATTACCTATATATATCTAAATATCTTCAATTTTGGGATACATTTTCCACGCGATCTACCTGCGTATTTAGAATAAAAGCTGATAAAATGTTTCAACTTCTTTTAACAAAAATTAATTCACATCTAAATATAAATAAAAATAATAGTGATGGTCGATTCTAAAATTAATTATAATTTTTAAGCAAAAAAAAAGTTCACTACAAGTCCACAAATTACTAATTCTTAAGTAAGAGTATAGTGTTTAAAATATAATACATATTTACAGTCTCCTATGGAAACATCACATTTTGAGATAATTATTATTCGGAAACATGATAAATTGCCAGCTTGACTAATTATATATTTATATAATATGCTAATGTACAACCGTAGATAATATATTTATATTCGTATATATTTTAAACAACGAATTTTAAATATAGATACTGAACACTCTAACACTCATCACTTTTATGTTCAAAATATTAAAACTTTTTATTCTCGTAATTAGGTAGGTACGCTGCATTTACAAACATATTATATATATATATATTTATTTATTTATTTATCATAATCAACGCCAAACGGCTTCTACACAATTATACAAGAAAAACGCAGATAACAAATAAAAACACATTATATAGCAACTTATAAAATGCWTTACATAATTACATAAAATTATAATAGTCTAAAAATCTTAAAAGACATTTTTTTTWAAATTATTATTATTTCGTATTATATGAGCCTCCGTACTAAATATGGTTTAATAATCAATATTATAATTGTTTGTGTTATGCATTAATCCTAAAAGTGGGCATTCCTGGAGAAATTAGATTTATTGGCGGGTACATAAAAATTAGACTGAACCCTAGTATTACTAGGAATACGGAAACTAAGTTCTCCAAGAACCCTTGGGGCATCAACTCGACCTTCGATCAGACGTTTAATAAAAGTGATACCAAAATTATCACGCCTAACTGAGACGGAATCAAGTCTCAGAGCTTGATAAATAAATATTCTTTGTAAAATAGTCAATAAACAATATTCCCAGTTAGTTTTTTTACTTTTAAATTTTTTTTTAGAATTCAGTCCTCTTGGCCCACTCCTCTCAGAACCATGGCCTTGCTACTTATAAATAATTATAAGTGTCTATTATACAAGCATATGTTTTGAATAAGTATAATTAATTGTATAGCGATTTATGATTACATAAATCATATATTATATAACGATTAGCAACTATAACAATATTGCTATTAAGTTAATATTAATATTTAAATTTTGAAATTTGCAATTCTTTTTGCGCTTTCCCATAGGAAACGTTCTTCAGCTGTCGGTTGATACCGGAACATTTTGCCTTTGTTTGTCACCACTACGTGCGGCGGCACCATMATCAAGTACCTGTTCACATCTTTGGCATATTCAGCTGGTGGCGCGACGACGCAAAAACAAAACAACTCGTGGAAGTATCCGAATGTGGACCACAGGACAACCACCGAGACGGCGACCACTAACGTCCAGAACCGGACAAAACGATTGAATTGCTCGCGAACAGCTAACGTTTCCTGTTCGGTGACGGCTTTACGATACTGGCGCCACAGGCATTGCGCGCTTCGCAAACCCATGTGCAAATATCCGACTGCTGCAGCTGATTGCAGGACTTGGGGTCTACCTGCATCTAGCAAGTAACTGTCCGCGTTCGTTTTTGTTGTCTGCGTTTCATAATAATAATTGTTATTCGTCCCTACTGTCTCTGCCTCTTCGCCACTCGTCATCACTGAGGCTGCCGATCTATCCCGTATCTCGAAAACGCCATGATTTCCAACTTCCATCGCCGTGTAGTCTATCGCCGCCGTAATCTCATCTAGGGATTCGATTCCAACCGGAACTGCACGCATATGGCCTATATTTATTATTAATAATTAATCATGCGGCTACTGATTTCATTCGACATAGGAAGTAATAAGTTATTATAATAGTGTAAATTATGAATTATTATTAGGTATAATTATTATTAATATTATATATTGACTTAATACTTTTAATAATTTTAACTGCTATTATATATAACAACTTATGAGGAACCTTGAAATACATTTTTAAGTTGATTGAAAGTTTGAAAAATTATTAATCGAAGAAAATTGAAAAAAAAAAAAACTAAATAAAATCGAAAATTCATCATTTATATAAATAACTTTAAAAATTCAAAATATTTTGAAAACTTTATCATGTATACGTAAAATAGTCATTTGGTGAACCTTTCTTCGGTTATTATTTATTGAGTTACATCAAAAAATACAATTTTACGGTTTACAGTTTTACGTAAAAATTATAATTTTTTTCTTAATTTTTATTTTTTTTCGCGACTATTGGAAATGTCTTACTATTAACCACCTAATAGCTTCTAATTAGATTTATTTGCTTGCCAGAAAATATACTGAAGTAGTAAAAAGTATCAGTTTTACTCATCGAGGTGATAGTAGCCAGGAAAATAAATAAAACACATCACATCATTATTTAAAATCAATACATTTTTTCGCTTCACTCACAATCTAAAAATGTATAAAATTACATTATATTATTTATATATCTTATATTTACTAACTATAATAGTAATATAACTAATGGCAATCGTGTAAAAAAAAAAAATATATTATTTTTTGTGAAAAAAAATGCATGCCTGAGCTACTTTTTAGAATTTAGCTGTCTATAAGGGTTGACAAAATAAGCTATACACCATCCCATTCTCAAGAAATTTATTTAGTTGAAAATGTCCAGTAGTCTTTAAGTCTATTGATTACAGACAGACCAATATCCATTTATACATATTTACTAAAGATTACAGAGACTAAATGCTTACCCTTGCATATTCACTATTGATAAGCAGAATCTCAGAAATAATGATACACTACTACATGCACAATACATACTAATATATTTCGCAATTGTGTAAACATATGTATTGCTATAATATGCTGAATTACGATGGTATCAAATATCAATTGTGCCATAGTTGTATACCATCATGAATACATATAATTTAAAAGTAAAAAACACTTGTAATTAAAGACTATTTTTCTATAATTCAATAATAATAATAATAATAATAATAATTATTATTATTATTAAAAACTTTTTAATAAAAAGTATAACTTTTATCATTTTAGTAAATGTAATTTAATTTAATAAAATAATGTTATGATAATATTCTGAGGAATAATAGGTAGTAACATAATGAATCAATWTAATAATATATCATACACCTATACGTATTAACATATTGTATACACTTTTACGAGTTTTACGTAATATATAGGTATTGCCATTATAGCTAGCTCATAATATTATGTTATATAATATATAATATCTACTGGAGCAATATAAATATAATATCACATTATCGTGTACAAATGGTAGATATTAAAATTAAAATATTATAATAATTCAGAGTTAATTCGAAATTTCAAATATTCGCTAACCACCATGATCGAGGCTGAACGGCTGATGCAAGGAATTATCTGCCAATTTCGAACGGTCTTCGCGGCGTCGTTGGCGTAGTGAATTTAATTTCTCGAAAAACGCAGTCATTTTTTCTTCCGAAACAACGTCGTCAGCTTGTATTGGTGGTAGGTCGTCTGTCTCGTCATCTTCGTTGTCTTCTTCGTCCGTCCAATTGAACGTATTTTTATCTTCTTCGCCGTTGTAAACGTCAACGGCTTTCGGCACCCAGCAATAGGTTGGTGGCACAAAATACGCGTGTACAGCAATAATCATTACTAACATACGAGTGACATCGGCTACACCGTAGTTACATCCACTGATGAAAGTTATTGTCATAAGTCAAAAATATACGATACAATATATATTATTATGTATAAATAAATAATATAACGTTTATTATTTGTGTCTATATGATATATATAATATATATATATTATATCATATAGACATAAAATTCACTTATAAAAGTTAATATTATAATAAAGATTAGCACGAAAAGCTGGACGAAAATGTATGATTATTTTCGAGGATTTTCATAAAATTGATGATATGTTYTAGAATGTACTACTTGCAGGTATATATCACGTAATATTAAATTTGGTATTTCGTGTTTACGCGTTGCTAAGTAATTTATAATATAATGTGTAAAAAATATTAAATAACAACTATTATAGCTACAACTAAACTGACCACCTTGTTTAAAATAAAATGTTGAATTATCCAATTGTTCAATAAATAGCAGCTTATTGTAAAAACGSCAATATGGGTATTATAGTGTTTAGTTTTCAAATAGTTATCTTAATTCATCAATAAAATATCGTTTGTGACATATTTATTATACATATCAAAATAAATGTAAAAAAAATGTATTTTCATATGACTATATAATTGGTAAGGTGACATTTTGATGCGTGGTTCAAAATGTCCCCAAGAACATGATCAATATAATTCAAGATTTTCAAAGAAGAAATTGGAGGGTATCGATTTAATTTTGATTGCTCAAGAAGTTACACGTTCAATATAGGTATACAAGTGATACGTACCAACCTGTAACGTGCTTAGATTTTGATACTAGTCGATACGTAACTATTGTCAGTCGATACGTATCGAATTCTTCTTCTTGAAAATTTTGATAATGTATACAGTATATGGTATTGATATACAAATATAATAAATATTATATTATACAGTAATATCACATTATTTGTAAAACATGATAAATTATTATAATGAATAATATAATTCATTAAATTCATTAACTATAAAACATTTTTAGTACAGTATAATATCTATAGAGATTAAGAGAAAATAATAAATCAAAGTTATGTAACCAAACAATTTTTGATAAAAAATTTAAAAAAAAAACTATCAAAATCATGCGGTAAATTTTGCTATAGTTGGTTTTTCTGCAGAATTTTCTGAGAAGAGGTATTGAATCTGTAAATTAAGAAATTGAATTTATGTTTAGTAGATGTTGCTTGTGAATGTTGGCAATTTTGTTAAATATTGTATTCAAAAAATTAAATTACCTCCCTATTGTGGCATGGTGTTTGGCCTTAGTCACAATCTACTGAATAAGCTCAGGCTAACCATAGATTTTTWAGTTTAATTTGATAAAAAATAAGTACCTTTATCTGTATAAAATATAAATATTAGATTATCTATTTTTATCATTGGCTCGTATAATTATTGCAGTGCAATTAATTTGAGCGATATAAGAGAAACAATAGGTCCACGTCCAATAAACACAACATTTAATATTATTGTGCTGTACACTTGTAAATTTATACGTAGGTACTTTATATATTAGATACTTTATTGAAATTAAATACCAAGTATAAAATTACAAAGTGATTGTATTGTCAACTGTTTTTTACCTAAAATGTATCAACATAATAAATAAATAACATCTTGATAATATGATAATATGATATACTTATATACCTACATATTATATTATAATATAACATAGTATCATATTACCATAATGTAAACATTTGAATAGAATTTCTGAAAAAATTGCAACTGCGAACCAGCTGTGTAATCGTGGATAATATTTATAGTTTATAATTTGTTTCTCTATGTGTACATTCATTAGGTATTTTAGACTAATCGGATTATATCATATTATCGTACAATAATAGTGATGAATCATATAAATACAAAGTTATGACATATTTTTTTAATTTATAAATGAAAACAATATTGAAGACGATACTATTCCCTAGCAATCTGTTGACTATGATTAGTCGTTAGTAATCTTGTTATAGCTGCGAGCCAACAACGCCTGTACGGCTGTACATAACATTCAAAAATACCTCGTGGTTGCACGGTTGGGCATYCTTACCTGTTGGCTGTTCGATATATCTATTGAATATCCACATTCTACACAACGTTTGAACATTATTTATTTATCCTTAAAAACATACCATGTTAAATTATTTACTATTTAATATGGATTTAGTATTTACCATTATCATAACTACTCATGTTACAAAATTATTCTGTTAAAATGAAAGTTCATAAAAAATGTTCATTTTTTTTGTTTAGAAATTCAGTAAACTTTGTACTTTCAATACACGTTTTGACGTATCTATAGGTGATAAAAACATTCGCTTATTATTTCAAAATCAAATCTTGTTATTTCATCATGGATAGTCGCTTGCTCATAGGAGTCAACGACTAATATATTATTGTATCAAGAAAAAGTTATTTTTGGGAAAGTATTTGGAGTACTGTTCGTTGTTTTTCGATTAAAAAATAAGCATTGGTCAAATACGTCTATTTTTTTCAAAACTTTCTAACGTATAGATACAATATTATAATTGGAAAAATTGTAAGATTTSGGTTTAGGTGCAGCGAATGGCAATTAATTGAGATAAAATATTTTTGAATTATCTCGTGATTTTATTTTAATACACAGGCGTATTTTAAAAATTAGATAAATTATTGAATAAATAATAACATTTTTTTTTCTAATAATTCACTATATGAACTATAATTTTATAAGACGAGTAATTATCAGGGGCGGACTATAGGAGAGGTAAAAGGCCAAGTATTCCATAACAGTAAATGGCCTTAACTAGCCTCTAAGAAAATCTAGTTTTTCGGGGAGTTTATATCAAATATATATTAGATAGTAGTAAGGTACCAATATTAAAACGCTACATGTGACAATTTTAAAATTGTAATATTAAGATCAAAATTATGTGAGAATTCACTATTCTTAATTTTAATTTATATTAACAACATCGTGAAAAAAAAATTACAAATTGTTGTTACCACGCTGAAACGGCCACCACAACGACGGAGAATTTGCGATGAACGAACAATAATAAGTGGACGATGTCGGTGTGGTATGCACCGTGTCCTTGGTGACAGTGGAGGGCGCCTGCAGGCGGT